GTGGAATTTTGAATGGTAATACAGGGATTCATTAAAAGATAAAAATGTTTTTGTTTAAGAAAGTAGAAGGAAAATAGACAACAACATGCATCTTCATTACTTCCTGCCTCCTGCTGTTTTATTTTACTTTTTTTTGCTATATTTGCTTATCTATATGTGTGTATATATATATATATATGTATATATATATGTATATATATATTTGTGTGTATATATATATATATATTTGTGTGTGTATATATATATATATATTTCATATCCATACTGTATGTTAGATGTTATCTATTTTTGATTTTTAAAATGTCATACGTGGGGTTCTGCTACCACCAAAAACCTCAAATTAATTCAGAAACTACACTCATTATTTTTCTTTTCTAAATTGCCCTTTCTAGAGACTTCTTTGATGTTTTTAATGAGGGTAAGCAGAAAAGAAGTCTTTCTTCTACCATTGAAGACAACCATAAAATATATGCAGTGGAGGCAAAATTACAATTTCGCAATTCTCCATGCACTGTTGCCTGTTGAGTACACTGACCTGAAACTAGCACTCTTTGTTAGAAAGGGGAGTATCAAGGGTGAAAGGTGTTAGAGGTGTACTTGCAACATTGAAATCTGTTATAACCCAAATCTGCAACAGAGCAGACAGGGGACTGACTTAAAATATGTATCACAGTTTTTTAAATTTTTTAAAATTAAAAAGAAATTTAATTTTTGCTATGGAGTGTGTGAGCTTGCCAGAGAGAGATAGAGAGAGAGAGAAATCGCCTCTCGGGGGGATGGCTACACTACAGTACCTTTTCCTTCATTCTCCTCTTGGGATTTTGGACTCACACATGTACCCCGCCTGTTTCTCAAGCTGCTGGGTCAGGAACTCAAACCCTGAACCTATGAACTGTGCACCTAGTGAACTACGCAGTGGGCCATGTGGGATCCTGCTGCCTGAAAATATGCATTGTGACTTTGTAAAAGGTTTATTTTCATGCTACTTATAGTAAGTTCATTAATTTCTATGTCTATCTCTGATCTTTAAACTTCTATTCAGGTTTCAAAACTAGTTCTTATGCTTCCATTCCAGAAAGCCTTCTTTGAGCTCTTCCATCTTAGTTGAATTCTTTAGAGGCTGGTGGTTCTCAACTCGGCAATTTTGTCCACCAGGAGTATTTGCGATATCCAGAGACATTTTTTGGTCTCCTCAGCGGGGGAGACTAATGATACTGGCATCAAGTGGTAGCAGCCAAGGATACTGCTAAGCATTCTACACTGCATGGGTAATCCCCCAGGAAGATTAATGATCCAGCCTAAAATGTTAGCAGTGCCAAGGCTGAGAACTCCTGCTTCAGGAGGATGTAATTTCTTTATACATTTTTCCTTTTGTCATGACTTTTTATATAATACCTATTTAGGTATATGTTTAATTTATTTTACTATAGTATAAACTCCTTGCAGGAGGGAAACAAAATTTTTCTTACTCTCCCCAGCACTGAAATGTAAGCAAGAGAAGCAAATGCATTATAGAACTTGTAGTCATAACTGCTTAGCGACAGTGTAATTTATTATGTTTGAAGACCCTCCTCAACTGTGGAGATATTTCATTTCTACTTTTTTTATTTGCTTATAGGATCTCAAGCTTGGAAAAGACCTTAAATATAATATATTCCAAATACTCTTTTTTTTTTTTTTTTTTTTTTTAATCAAGGGATTTCTTTTGATTTTCTAAATACTGAATTAAAATTCAGTTGCAATCCTCCTTAGGTGCCAGACTGTGAAATTGGTATTTCCTCATTTAGACATTATCAGAATATATGGTGGCCCTCTGTGCATAGATATATACTGTGTGTATGAATTCATTAAGAATATTAATTGCAGAAAAAGTCACCAGATGATCTTTATAGTTCTTTTCAACTCCAAGGATCAGTGATTTGAATTGCTACCTGTACTTACATATTTACTTGCTAAGTAAGGAAAAAAGAGACTGAGTGATGTCTTTCCTTTGCATAAATATTTGGTTTCTTAATTTCTAATTAGCCCAAAGGTATTTAGAAAATCTGTATCTAATAAATTCCTATCCATTAATTACTCCATGTCAAAGCACCTTAAAGATATACATTCTAATCACTTTTCTGTTGAACCCTCATAGAACTATTGTCCTGGTATTATTATTAGTCTTTTCATATACACACACGCACACAAGAATATATATATATGTGTGTGTGTGTGTGTGTGTGTGTGTGTATGTGTATATATGTCTATATATGTGTATATGTATATATATTTGTGTGTGTGTATCCAGTTAGATTGCCAAGATTTTAACAGAAAAGGTTATACCTTTAAAAAAATCTATCAATTAATATAGTGAAAAGCTCACACATCACAATCTATTTGTTCAATGATTACAATTGGAATTCTCAGAGACTTGAAAGTTAAAAGGGAACACTTTTCCTCATGTAAAAATCCCCTGGCTATATTTTAGGTAGCCTCAGTAGAGAAATATCAAGCTCAGTGGACATTTTAATTAGTAAGCTGAAAGATAAGATTCATGAGCATGACATAAGATAAAAGCACATGAAGACAAAATTCTAAGTGGGTACATTTTAACTAAAAGGTATGGACATTTCATTAAGTAAAAACTGTGTTACTATCAGCAGAAAATAAGAAAGAATATTACCATGAGGCTGGGCAAACTTGGAAAGAACCTTTGCTAACCTACAGCTGAATTAAAACATCATTTATAAATTATGGCTACAAATTAATTTTACTGTTTTTGAAATATAATTAGCTTTTTACTCAGATACAATGTGAGTTCTAGGCCCACCTTTATGCTAATTGCCTGTGTAACTTCTGAAAATTCCTTTACTAGATCTATTTTTTCGTTTTAGAAATTCATGAGAGTGGGACAGCTTGTTTTTTAAATATTGCTTCTTAGTTTAACCTTATATTTGTACGAACATTTATACTTAAAACTTCTTTCCCATATATTATTCACTTTATCATTTGGACAGTTTTGTTAGGAAAGCCTAGAAAATATAATTATTTTCTTTCTACTAATGAAAAAATAGACCAAAACAGGTAAGTGACTTAACTAACCCTGTTGTGAAAAGCCCAGTTCTTTTTCCAGAATAACTCTCAAAAACCCTCTCTGTGAGAGTGAGTGTACAAATAATCTATAAATGTCTTCTCTCTCTCTATTTCAAAACTAAGCTTTAAGAAGGTAGGCCCTCAATGTTAAATGTAAACTTCATAATTTTAAAATGGTATAAAATTTACAACTCAGCAGCAGCGGTATCCCTGGCTGCTACCACTTGATGTCAATAGCATGGTTTGAACCAGGGATAGTCAATGAAATTCAGTATGCATATCAACCTATATTGATTGGCAGTTGCCGCTGAAGTGCTGTGTAGAGGATAATTCTGAGGTCAAGTTTGGGCTCAGTGGGAAGGTGTGCTACATTATATTAACCACGTAAACTATGGGAGATGGAGAGGAGAGTGGTGGCAGAATTACAGGAGAAATAGCCTTTTAAGAAATTGCTGTAGAACTCAAAAACGTTTTAGGAAGAGTCTGATATCAACATACCTTATATAGTTTATAACCAGCATTATTAAACACATTCAGCTTTTGTCATGAATGTTTTCTTATTTAGAAGAGTGTCCTTAGAATATTTAATTTGAGGGACTAGCAGTTAGCGTAATGGCTGTGTTGCTGGACTCCCATGTAGTTGACCGCGGTTCGCGTCCTGGACCCGGTGGCTTAAAATTCAGGCCGGGCACATGTGTGTGCGTGCCCAAGATCCTGAGAGGAGAATGGAGGAGAAGGGATTGTGGCGTGGCCATCCCCCCTGGGGGGTTATTTCTCGCTTTCTGTCTCTATGTCTCTCTCTGTCTGTCTGGCGAGCGCACGCGCCCTATAGTGAAAAACCTCTCCAAAAAAAAAAAAAAAGAATATTTAATTTGAGTATCTTCATTTGTAACCACAAACTGTGCAAGAATGTAGTGGTTGCTTCTAATTAGAGTTTTAATAAGACATAGCTTGGTCTGAAAACTTCAGTGCACTAAATATATAACTCTAATGTGTATGTATATATATATACACACACACACTATATATGTATGTACATACACATTGAAATATGTATTATATAAGCATTTGTTATAGTTATATATTATATTAACATGTACTATATATGTAATATACGTGTGTGTGTGTGTGTAGAACACCAAAAGCTTCTGGACTAATAAGTATGGCACTGTGTTCTAAGATAGGTTGAAGATATTGTGCATCAGTAATTGCTGTTTATTGACTACCTGCCCCAAGCTCTTTATAGTAATAGGTATTTCACATCCTGTTTTCTTCTCTATGATTTATAATTTTGAGTTAGACTTGGTTATTTCCATTTTAAGCAGTAAACAACTATACCTTAGGAAAGTTGAGTAATTGTCCTAGATGATATGGCTAGGAAAATTGTGGAGCCAGACTTCAGACTAAGATTTATCAGGTTTCAAAGTCCCTTTTCTTAATCAAACCAGGCTATGACATGTTAAAATTTAAGAGCACAATTATTTTCCAGTGATGGCCTATGTTCTACAGATATCAAGAAAACTTTTGGATTTAGGTTTGTTTTTGCATTTACATGTTGGGCCTTAGCAATCTTCAGGGAGGAAAATGAAGCTTGCCAAAAAAAGGGAAATCACCTTTTTCCAATGTTTGCTAATGTGATGCCAGTGAAATGTTTTTCTATAGGATGTAATGTTTCATCTAACAAGCACTGCTATGGGCTTAGAGAATTTACTTTAATTGAGATTAAAAACTTCCCTGAAGATCTCTTATTGTTAGGGAAGTATATTATATATGAGTTGTGTTTTCATGATATTCATCCACTTAAATTTGGCTCAGAAATAAATGATCTTGTAATTTGGCAAAATATATTATCAGCAGAAGCATATTGTAATGTGGTCATAACTTAAGCCATAAATGTAATTGTGAATGTCATTTCTTCTTTCCAGATTCCTTGGTGTTACTCAGTTTTCACCTACACATGCCCGAAAGGCATTTCCTTGTTTTGATGAACCAATCTACAAAGCTACTTTCAAAATCAGCATCAAGCATCAAGCAACCTATTTATCTTTATCCAATATGCCAGTGGAAACCTCTGTGTTTGAGGAAGATGGATGGGTTACGGATCACTTTTCACAGACCCCTCTTATGTCCACGTATTATTTAGCCTGGGCAATTTGCAACTTCACATACAGAGAAACTACCACCAAGAGTGGGGTTGTAGTAAGTATTTTCAGCTTAATGATGTTTTTGGATAATATACTCTCTGTAAAGTAATTTGATTTCTGGGTTAACAAGGTGTTGTTTCCAACCTCTTCTCATCTTTCAGAGCTGACTTTTTCTTAAGTATTGGGAACAAGGTATCTTCCAAGTTAAAGAGAGTCCGAGAGGAACTTTTATTCTATACCCAGCTCTCTTATTCTTTTAAACACCTTCACCTATCACCTCCATTATCCCTGTACTTCCTCATCTTCACCCTCGCTCCTAAGGATGTCTAGAACAGCTGTTGTTTCCTTTAGGAAATTGCCTTTTTCTACTTGTGGGACTAGAAAAGCTGATGCTTTTTACTGTAAAATATTTCAAATGTACAGAAAAATGTGACAAATAATGTAAAAAATACCATAATCTACTATCCAGAGTTATAGAATCTTAGCATTTTATTGGTTTTGCTTCAGTCTAAATTTAATTGTTGAGAAAGTAAAACATATTGGATAGACTTGAAGCCTTTGTATAACCCTCTCTTATCTCATTACCTTGTTTCCTCCTTAAAAGATAACCATCATCCTGAATTTGGTGTTTTCCATTACTAAGCATATAAGTATGCAATTAATAAGTATGCATGTATCTATTTATAATATATATGATGATTTTAATTTTCATATATGTGACTTTATATTGTAGATATCATTCTGTAACTTGTATTTCATTTTATTTTCCCAGGCGGGATAAGTTACAAGGAGCACTACATTAAATTTATAATGTGGATAAATTGGATTCTCTTTGATCTCTCTGACCACGGTGTCACAAATGACGCTATGGTGTTCTAGGCAATTTCACATGCTATTGCATTGCATTAGGCTAGGCTAGGCTTTACTGAAATAACAACTTCTCTCTCATTTCAATGGCTTACATGATAAGCATGCATTTATTTTAATTTTCATATTAGCCCTAAAGCAAGGCATTAGGATTCCACGTTTTCTAAATGAGTAAATTGAGGTTAATGATATTAAGTAACTTGCCCAGGGTCCAAAAGTAGTCAAATGGTAGAATTGTAAGTCACACAACTGCAAACCTCTGTTTCTTTTAGTTTGATCTCAAATTTTGGACTTTTTCCTTTATGCCCTAGGAACTCTGATTCAACAAATCACATGTGCATTTATTAGAGAATTTGGCTTGCAAATCTTCCTATCCAATGACCATTGTATTTAGCGTTGCTTGATTGTGACAGAATAGGTGAATAGAAATTGGTGTTTTTAATCTTTAGGAAGATTTAGTGTTATTATAACCTGAATTATAAACAATACTTTTAGCTAAAAAAATTTCCTCATTGTTACTTTTAATTTAAATCACAATGGAGCCTGCTTTAAAATGTAATATGCCTGCATACAAAATTAACATAATTTTTTAAGAACCGAATATAGTGAAGGAGTTACTCTGTATAATCATTATAATACATTATGTCCTAAATGCTAACTCCAGAGAGTTAGCAGACATTGTACTCTTTTGGGCTTATAATCACTGTTATGTTGAATTCTTCTGATGTCTGTTGATGTCTTTTATGGGAATTTCAAAACTGCACTCATTGAACCATATACAGAAAAGGAACACAAAGACATCTTATTTCCTTTTACAACTTCAAAAGTTGATGATTGACTTGCTGTGGGTCAGCTAGCATAGGGTACACTGGAAATGCTTTTTCCCCGTATATTTTCTTCAAAGTATCTTAAAAGTGTTCTCAGCTCTACACAGTTATGCTTGTTGCTAAGTGACCTATGTCTAGAGCCAGACACACTAATTATTTAGATGTGACTTTTTGTTAGAGTTAAGAATCTCTAAGTAATTAGTAAACATCTTAAAATTCTTTCTTAATAATTTTATCTATAAAAGATAAAACACACTATCAGAGAACTTTGAAAGGTCAACCAAAATAAAATTTTCAAATGTGTAGTCTAAAAATACTAAAATCAGTAAAAAGGAAAACTGAATCGCCACTGAGAACTTTATCAGCTGTGGAAACATGGTTTAAAACCTGACTCTCCTTTTCTGTCACCCCTTTGAAATCCAATCTATTTTCTTTTCATTGCTTTTCCCCTTTATTATTGGGAACACATGGGAATGACATTTCTCAACCCTTAACAGCGAGGAGTGGAATCTTGGATGTGGGATTGTCATGTAAAGTCCAGGTGGTCATTTCAGATCAGAAGCTGAAGCCATTTTCTTTGAGCTAGAAGAGAGGAACTTGAGTAGCATAGTAATAATACAAAGCTGACTTGTAGCATTGCCCTAACTGTGAATATCTGATGCATCATCATTACCCTCATTATTTGCTTATCAGGCTACCTACACATGGAAAGGCAGTATTCTCAATAATACATTAAAAAGTCTAGGATTTCTCTAGTACAGTGATTACAGATGCAACCTTCAGAATGAATCTAAGGTTGTAGATGTATTTTGTTTACCCATCCTCAAAATGTCCTGTCATTTTTCTAATTAGTTGTTAACATTTAGAAATTGAGAGACTGTACATAAAACTGCTTTTGGCTTCTCTTGAAAAATCTAAAGATGTTGTAACACTGGGCCCACATTTCTACTTGGCAATATTTGTACATTCATTTATTCCTTCAATAGATATTTATTGTCAGAGATTGTTCTAGGCTTTGGTGATACAGTAGAAAACAAAACAGATAAATTTTCTTCTGTCAGGAAGCTTCCATTCTAATGATGAGAGAGAAAGAGAGAGAGAGAGAGAGAGAGAGGGAGAGAGAGAGAGAAAGAGAGATGTGTAGTTTGTTGGATGGTGATATATGCAATGAAGAAAATCAATGTGCTGAAGCAATAACATCCTCCAGTAACACTTACCTTATCATCCTTCGAGCATTCACCACAGCCTCTATTAGCCCCATAGGAGTCTGCTAATCCTCTCAAGAGTCTTCCGTTTTTGGTTCATAGTCTAGTTCCAAAGTCAATACCACATGTTTCCGGCTTTTGTTTTTTTAGTACCTTACTTTCAGGTACCAAAATTGGTTTCAGTCAATATTGCTGAATTTGAAACCATCCTAAAAATTTCAATAAATAAAACAAAGAACACTTTTTATGCTCATGGATCCTGTGAATCAAGAGTTTGTCCAGAGAAGGGAATGACTTATCTCTGCTTCATGGTGCCTAGGGCCTCAGCTGGGGAGGCTCATTGACTGGGCAGGGTTTGGGGGTGGTTTGACTTGATAGCTTGGACCAAAAGCATCTGACCATGTCTTTGCTAAGTACCTCTATTTGATATTGGCTGTCCTATGGGACTTCAGTTGAGGCATCACATCTGGGGTATCTTTGAATGACCTTTCCATGTAACCTAACTTAATTGTAGCTTGGTTCCTTAATGTTGTTGGGTATGTTACTGATGATTCAGGTCTTTAAAGAGTCTTACACTGTCTGTTTATTCCATTACAAAGGATTACATAGATTGTATTAATCACAATGCCCCCCCCCCTTTTTCTTAGCAAAGCAGAAGATGTATTATCTTTTTTGACCTAGGCTAAGAATTTTAACAGTGTCTCTTTTGGTATATTCTGTTAGTTACAAGGTAATCATTTAGGTTGGTCCAGATTTTAGGGAAGGGGACATAGATTCCATACTTCAATTGTAGTGGTATCAAAGAATTTGCAAACCCTTTTGCAACCACCACAGTTGTTATAAATATTACAGGAGATTATATAAAATCATAAGCATAGTGCCTGACATAGTAGTTACTCTGATGATGTAAATTAAATTGATGATGTATTTAGAAATCATGTAAGGGAGTAGTGATATCTAAGTTTGAAAGGTAAATGGAAATCAGGTTGTGGAGGAACTTGAAACTAGTTATATTTTAAGATTTAATTCAGTTAACAGTAAGAGCCCCTAGAAATTTAAAAACTGGAGGCATGATATCTGTAGCTTTGATAATCTGCCTGAGAAAAACATACAAGATATTGGGACAGGAGGACACTGGGTACAGGAGCTCATTTAGCTGGACATTTAGCCTAGAACAGTTATAATTGAATTGGAAAGGATGGTATAAATAAAATGCATTTCTGCATACCAGCAGATGGTGTAATGATTATGTTGCTGGACTCTCATGTAAGTGATCATGGTTTAAGTCCTGTACCCGGCAGCTTAAAACTCACGCCGGGCACATCTGTGTGCATGCCCCAAATCCTGAGAGGATAATGGAGGAGAAGGAACTGTGGCGTGGCTATCCCCTCTGGGGCGGGGGTGGGGGGTGTGATTTCTTGCTTTCTGTCTCTCTGTCTCTCCAGCGAGTGCATGTAGCCTATAGCAAAAATCTCTCTTAGGAAAAAAAAGGCATTTTAAATAAAGTAATTGTAGGACTTGATGAAGGACAAAAGGTGGGAAAAATTGATAAAGGTAAAGAGCAAAGGGTCAAGAATGACTTTAAAGTGTAAGGCAATAATATCGCTGTAGTTTCCATGTTCCAGTTTCACTATGTATTTGGAATTGGCTATTGAAACCAATGAGGGTTTTCATTTTCCCTGGCCAGTCTCCTGTGAGCATAACCCTTGCTGCCCAAGTGACTGATTGACCATCTATCTATTCATCTATCGTGTATCATTCTGCTATAAATGATTATTTAGAATTCTACTAGTTGGCATTCTTTATTATCAAGTAACCAAAAATTCAAAGTTGAAATTTGAATTTTTCAATTTCTTAGAAAGAGATAAGAGTATTTCAAGGAATTAGCATTCAGGGATATACTTTGGTCCAGGAGCATTGTGTAACTAACAAAATTAGCTCTTATTTTAGGAAGGGAATTTGAGGAGTGTCCATTAATAGATTCTGAGCATATATTCTGGTTTATTTTAAAAAAATCATGTTAATAATAGGAGTCCTGTTGTCACTGGATGTTTTGGCTAGATTGCATTACAGATGTAATTATGGCCCATAGGAAAAGAAAAAGAAATAGTGACAAGAGAGTTAGATTATATTCTATTTAGAAATATAAGAAGAGG